AGTTTTCAAATGGGGTATAGATTTTCTTTGGCAAAGTCCATCTTCAATAGAAATTCTAATCCCATTGGGCTACACGTGTTTTGAAAAATTTCTTTAAAAGATCTACTTAGTAGTTAGAAAACATGCAAAACTGATGTCATATTTTCTTAATTTAGTACAACTTTCCCTTTGAGGATGATATAGTTGTCTCTATCAAATCATTGACTTATCAGACACAGGATGGTAAGATTATGTTTACCTTATTTTATTACTATATTTATATTTTATCTTAAAACTATACAAATAGAGAAATATGTTGAATCTTATTTAAGAATAAAATGAAAAATTAGCAAAATTTATTGCATACATCTGTCTGACTCTCTCTCTACATGTGTGTATGTGTATACATGTGAACACATACTCATATCTTGAAATTACTAAGAATAGAGCTTCTATTATATAAAAATATTTAGGTAAGAAATTGTCCTCCTGTACAATTTGAAACAAGATAGTAAGGAAATCAAATACATTAATATGAATAGAAAATCAAAATATAATCCTACATTATGAAGCTTATATTGCAGAATCAACACAAACATACAATAGTTTGCTATACTAAACTAGACAAATGTGGTGCAGTTATCCTAGATATTTTAGTGGCATTAAATACTGTCAACCACAGTGCAAGCACTGGGAGATAGAGGCACAATGGTAAGATTGTTCTAATGCTTCTTTACTGAGCATATACAGAAGGTATTCAGGAAATAGGTTAGATCCCTGGGCACTGTTGTTTAATTTTTTGCCTATTCTGTTCCAAGACATAACTGAAGGTACTGGGAGAGGTCATCTGTCACCTTGGCTGAAGTATAAGTATGCTGATGATACTCAGGTATACATCTCCATCCCAGGCCCATTGGGAAATATGGATGTCTGGACAGTATCAATATCTGGAGAGTATCAGAATTTGGAGAAAAAGAGTCATACTTAACCCAAACATGAGAAAATGGCTGTTGATTACCATATTTAGTTCTTGAAGAGGTTGTGCTTCCTGGAACGCACAGATTCACATCTGGGAGTCCTCCTGGTCTTGGGTTCTTGCTTGAAGAGCAGGTGAATACTGTACCCAGGAGGACTTCTACATAACTCTGACTGATACACCAGTTATGGCTTTTCCTAGAAAAGGATGTACTGAACACACATATATGTGCGCTTAACATATATTATAGAACATGATTGAAATTTGGTCCAAAATCCAGCTCAGGCAATCAAGCTAAATTTCATAAATATTTTTTATGGATTTGGATGGGGGTTTTTTGTTTGAAATACTTAAATGACAGCTAGAGTTAAATATGCATGGAGAAGTAATTTAAGGTCATGGGTAATGTAGGATCAAAGCAGATGGTAATAGAAAATGTTCATAACTTTACTACTTTAAATCTGAATATAACACAGGAACTTGGGATCCAGTTTCATACTTCTCGATGACATAAAGTTTATCTGCAAGGAATCTAAATTTCAGTTAATAAATCGAAGTTGTTCTTATCCTATTTTTGTTTCAGTTCCAATGCCAATTTACAGCAGATAGGATAGAATAGGATAGAATACAGAAAAGAGCAACAAAGATGATTAGAGGGCTGGAAGCTAAAACATATGAAGAATGGTTGCAGGAATTAGGTATGTTTAGTAAAAAATAAAATAAAAAAGGACTAGGAAAGATATAATAGCAGTGTCCCAGTGTTTGAGGAGCTGTCACAAAGATGACGGGGACAAACTATTTTCCAAAGCATCAGAAGGCAAGACAAGAACCAATGGATGGAAATTAATCAAGGAGAGAAGCAACCTAGAACTAAGGTTTCCATTATTATACATAACATACAAAAAGTGAATAGAGATGGAAAATAAGTTTTGCTCATTGATTATTATACAGCGCTTTCTCCTTGCATACTGTAATAAAAACTAATTTCCAATTTTCTGTCATAGTCTGGAGTGGTCATTCCTTATTGGGAGGAAGTCTAGCCCCTACCCCAGATGAGATCTCTAATTCATGACTTTGCCCTAACTGAAGTTTATATAAGATTACAATCTTAATCAGAAATATGTATTCTAACTCATTTATCTATTCTTTTGCAATTTATAGGACCAAGAATTTGGGGAGAAGATAAAATTTTAGATGTGTCTTATGAGGTATTAATATGTATGCCTTTCATTTTTAACCTTGTTATTGCTAATATGAAATTTATTTCTAAGTTGTTGGGAACAGGTTTAAAAATCTAAACATTTTGTGTTGGATGTGAAGGTACCTGCTGGTATTCAGAAGTTAGTCAAGATGGAGCTAATTTGTAGGGCTTTTAATCTATACTAACTCTTCCTTAAAGTTCAGAGGCCAAAGTGAGTTCATAGTTACGGTATATTATTCATCAGTTTTAGGTATTTGTCTATTATTATATTGATTCTGAAGTTATAAAGTTTCAGCAGGGTTTTTTTAAGTATACAGAAAATAAATATATTTTGTTTGATGGTTACAAATAATAAAATATCCAATTTAAATTATTGTAATTCAACCTTTGTTAAATAGGCATTGCATAGATGATTAGAGGTAGCAATAATAGTTGGAAGGGACCTTGGAGGTATTATAGTCCAACCCCTGCTCAGGCAGGAAACCCATTTCAGACAAATGGTTGTCCAATCTCTTCTTAAAAACCTCCAGTGTGGGAATACCCACAACTTCTGGAGGTAAGTTGTATTTATTTGATAGCATTGTTGTTTTTGTAATGATTAATGATGAAATTCAAACATAGTTGTAATACCTGACATTCTTTAATCAATTTACTATAATAGAATAAATGTTTTTAAAACTTGTTATTTACTTTTCCAAGTAAGAAAGCCAGATAGTCTTGTTACTTTCTGAATATTGTTCTGAATACAATTCATCTCCTAATAGTTTTCCTCTGTGTTTGAGCATTAGTAGATGAATAAGACTAATATAGATTAATTAAGGTCTGTTTATATAAGTGGAATTATACTGATAGATAATTTTGCAAACATATAATCTTAAAGTTAGTTTACTATGAGTTGCAATCAAAACTAAATATTTATTCATCAAAAGACAGATCACTAAATTCCTTCTAAATGTGTGAGCCTCCTATTGGATGGATATTGCTCCTATGTTCTTATTAGTATAGTTTCCTAGTTTAGAGAGATATGTTGAGCTTCTACAAGGTATCCAAAATCAGTAGGTCAAACAATTTGTAAAATTTCAGAGAATCAGGTCTTGTAATTTATATAATAGAATCCTAAAACTTTGTTTGAACTTTAATTGACAGAGGAAGAAAGAAAAAAATACTACAAATACTAGTTTGCTGCCAAAACCAAATTGGAATTTATAGTTTAAACAGATTTTCCAATTTTCTTTTGGACACAAACTGGTTTATACTAGTTGTAATTTTCCCAGTTTAAATATGTAATTCCACCAAACTGATGTTTCAGAAGCAATAGAAGGTAGGCTTGAGATCTACTTGCAACTTAATCACACTTTCTATGAATTTCTTTTTAAGATATTCACTACCACTGCAAACAGGTTATAGCAAAAGAAATGTCTTTAGTACAGTAATGCTGAAGTTAGTTTAAATCACATAAAATTAGTGGTTTCAAGTTGTAGATAAACATTTGTCTAGATTCTCTCCCTTTCTTCTCTGGACCCGTGGATGCTGGTAATGTAAGGAAAGGAATACAGTATCTTGAACAAGGTGTATAGGAGAAGATCAGTCCCAAGTGAAAAGTATCTCAGCAACATTGACAGCTTATGTAAGGTTAGCTGGTTTAAAACTTGTTAAGCCCCATAGGAATATGCAGCTTGTTATTGAACAACAACGTTTTCAAGCAAAGAATTGTCTTATTATTACTGTTATAGAGGAATTCATTAACTGAAGTCTTTGTTTAAAACCACAGAACAGTATACAATGCCAGGAAAACATAGGTAAGAAAAGGGTTTTGAAATTTCATAATATCTCTGTCTTACATTGTGAAAGAATTTGGCCTTTGATTGTAATATATAAAAGAAAAAATCAAGATTTGGATAATTGGTTAGCAAATGCAGACAAAAGTTGTGATGACAAGACAGAAAACAAAGAAATAGACCAGTGGTTCTCAACCTGTGGGTCGGGACCCCATTTGGGGTCGACCGACCATTTCACGGGGGTCGCCAAGCAAGGCTGTCCGCCATTTTTTTTGTCCACCATTTTTTTTGTCCACCATTTTTTCCCCTTTTCTGGCGGGTGCCTTACCTCCCTTGGGCTGGGCCAGCTGGTGGTCGGCCTGCTCCGTCTCTGCCGCTTGCCAGCTATGCCTCGGCCGGTGCAGGGGGCGGAACCGCGCATGCGCGGCGCTCCCGGGCAGGGAAAGTCCTCGACTTACGACCGGTTGGGTAGTCCTCGACTAACAACCGGTTTAGTCCTCGACTTACGACCGGTTTAGTCCTCGACTTACGACCGGTTGGGGTCACGGCATTAAAAAGGTTGAGAACCACTGAAATAGACCAATGAATTTGTACAACTATGTGCAGAAATTAATAATTCTTTTTATGCTTATGATACTTATGCTCAATAAGTGTAAATTAAGAATAGTTATGTGTAGATTTCTCAGTAGTTACTTTGAAAGTTATGCAAATTCTATCATAAGATATTGGTATTTGCTTTTAATAGTCTTGATATTCTTAAGAGTTGTTTAGTGACAGAAAATGATAAATTGCATGAGAGCTTGAGACTTTTCTTAAAAAATATACTTCATTGCCATGTGATTCTCTGCTGCTGAACCAGGATTCCTGGTTTATTTAATTGCCCCTAAGAATTTACAGAACCATTCAAACTCTGAGGTAATCTGGAATTCCTTATCCAAAGATAAAATATCAGTAAATTAAGTACTGTAATAAAATATAGATGATTGTTCTATATATAGCAAAACTGAACTTTTTGTTGTCAATTCTAGGATTTCGTTCAATCACAAAGATAATAAGATATATCAAAATGTTGGTAGCTTTTGGTTATATTGGTAAATATAAGTCAAATTGCTTTTGAATTGAGCTCAACTGCTAAATCAGGTTAATGGAAAGTTTGTTTATTTAGTCTTTTTTTAAAAATAGATGTATATGCTGTCCAGTCTTTAATACTTGACTCTTTGCCCAGGTGTAATAACATAATGTGGTAATATCAACCAATCTCCTGTTTAAACCATACAGTCATATCATTATATAAAACATAAGATGCTTAAATGAACTGAGTATTTTGAACTTAGTTCTAAATGTAAGAAAGATGTTCATCAATAAAATAAGTGTCTGGTTTGTATGTATGAACTGACTTTAAATGCCATTGAAGATGACATTTTATTTTCAGATGCCCATATCTAATTAAAATTTGTCTTTTTAATTAAGTGCAAAAGCAGAATTCTGATTTTGAAGAAGACTCTACAGATGATCAGGTATGATCTGCCAGTAGCTTAGAGACAGTAATATGAAACTCTTTTCTTCAGTTGCAGGTATATGCATCTTCTCATTCTCCATTTTTACTGCCATGCACCATATTTTTTTTAAAAAAATTAAACACTTATTTGTTGATTCCCTCTCCCTTTTCTTCACCTGATAATTTAATTTTTATTGTGATTTTGATAGCCAAAATAGTACACTAGGTTACAGAATGATCTTATATTTTTAACTGTACCAATTATTAGACAAACCTATTTCTTTTTAATTGTGAATAAAGAATAATATATAAAATATATAGATGAGTAATGCTTATCACTGTTTTATCGAAATATTACAACAGAGCTTATATGAGAAGCCACTTGGAAAAGTGGTGATCTCGTTATGGATTTCATAGCTTTAATTCTACTATTCTACTATTATTCTACTATTGCCACATTGGCTCTTATTCCCAAGTAGCCTTAAAACATAATATTTCTGATAAATTGCAAAATGAAATAGCCTGATAGGCAAAAAAATTATGAGGAATCTTCAGAATCCTCTTGAATAAATCATAGGGGCATTTTATTTATAAGTTATTGAAGGATCTGCCCAAGACTATTATGTAAACATTAGTATATTTATATTTAAGGCCTGAAAAGCTAGATCATTTTGTCTCTGTTTCTCCTTGTGGCATTGTCCTGTATAAAAATGGAAATTAATGCAATATAATATTAGCCACTCAGAGTTGCCTGAAACACAACATGGGTGGCAAATAAATTTGATAAATAAATATTAAGTCAGCAAAGTATAGTTTTGTTTGATTCCTCCTCTCCCCTATCTCATCATATAATTAGCAGCAACATTACAAATACATAAGTGATTGGTGCAACAGATAGTTCTTCTATATGTTTGGAAAACATAAAAAGAAATTGGTATAGAAGCATTTTGGAGCAAAAAAATCTAAGTTTGTAAGGTAGTGCATAATTGATTTCAGAATATTGTACATGTGTGCATTTGTGTGTATGCACACACATTCTGAGAAACTATTTTTGTAATAACTAGTCTTTGTACTAACTTCTTTGTCACTCAGTACTAAAACTGATTTTGTACGCTAATTGAAGTTAATGCAATGTTTGTAATTTTGGGTTTTTAAAGACATTTGAGGAAGGCCAGTTCACCAACTTAAATGAAGAGAGTCAACTCAGTCCAGGTAAGCACAAAACATGTAACCCTGAAAATTACTTTCAGCTTATCTACACATGCTTTATTATGGATCAAACTTATTTTAAAATGCATTTAACTGATACTTGATATGCAAAGACAATTCCTATATGTCATACTGTATTTATATTTAATAATACCAGTGCATCATAAACCTCATCCTGTGAATTAATGAATCAAAGAATTTTAGCCAAAAATGTAATTTTTATTTTTGTTTTAAGCAACATTTTTGGTATCTTTTTGTACGAATGAAATACTCAGATTGTAGTATTTGGATTGAAGTGTATTTAAGTCTGTAATTAAGAATTGTATGACACATATGAAATTAGAGCTCCTTTTACCCTTTTAAATCATTAATGTGTTGCTAATTCATTATCCATTCTTCAAATAACTCAGATTACTGTATTTGTGTCATTATTTTTTTAAACCTTGATTTGAAAGCTTTCTGTATGACATTCACTCATGGCCTCCCACGTACATTTCTCAAAAAATGACAGTACAACCAGGCAATTTAAGTGAAAACTCTTTATTCTAGTTATACAATTACTTGTCAATGAAAGGCTTTTAAAGACCATGGTAATCACAATGCTTGATGTACGTTTTTTATATTGGCAGCAATATAATGTTTGTTTTTTGATAGCTACCAAAAGAAGAGTAAATCTTTCCTTTATGTGTTTTTTAAAAAAGTGAAAAAATCCTGTATGAAAAATTAAAATCTTGGTATTAGTTATGCTGACTAAAATATAACTTTTATTTAATTTTGAATTGCAGATAGCAAAGGGAAGGCTGAGTTGGCGTCTATTAAATGTCAGTTGGCCAATATACATATCCAGGTAATAGTATAAATAAAAATAAAATTTTGCTCACAATATTAGGATATTTATTTTAGGTGTCATACACCTAAATGGACATGGACATATAGGTAGTCCTTGTTTAGAAATCACAATTGGGAGTGGCAACTTGGTCATTTAGCGTAGCAATTGCTAAATGAAACTGGAACTGTGTGCCTACAATCCTACTTCACTTTTTCTCTACTGTACAAACCTTCAGAGGTCATAAATGAAAAAAATGGTTGTAAATTACTTTTTATTCCATCATAACTGTGAACGGTCACTAAACAAGCTGTATAGTCCATATTTTTCTATCGATGGTCTGATTCCTGTCCAGGGAATTTCAACATATTATAAAACTTTTATATATTTTCTATAAGAGCCGTGATAGTACAGTGGTTAGAATGCAGTATTGCAGGCTGACTCACTACAGTACTCACTTGCAGAAGTTTGATTCTGACTAGCTCAAGGTTGACTCAGCCTTCCATCCTTCCGAGGTCGGTAAAATGAGGAGCCAGATTGTTGGGGTCAATATACTGACTCTGTAAACTATGAAGTGGTATATCTAAGTGATTGCTATTAAAGGGACACAATCTACACAATCATTTCTATCAGATATGTAGATTAGGACTTTTGAAATTAATTATAAAGGATTAAAAGATAGTACTCATATTCCTGTTTCCATAAGAAATTAAATCTACTGAAAGCAACACAAAAAATTCCTGCTTAATCCAGTCCAGCATAGTGCAAAACCAGATGCACGTTCACAAAAAGGACATAGATATAATAGCATCTTCCCATTGCCTCTGCTCTGAGGGAATAAGTTTGTTACTCTTTTCTGGTTCATTTATTTTACATTTCCATGTTTATCTTTTTAAAATTGAAATGAAATCTGTATATAGTATTTCATGTGTTATCACACTATACAATGTTTACTTAATGATTTTCAGTCACTTTATATGCATGTTTCAGTCCTTCTCCAGTCTTTTTGCCTTAGCAAGTTACATGAATTTTGTACTGCAACAACAGTAATAAACATGTGTATCCCAACATTTGGTTTAATGTTTTTACTAACTATATTCTTTGTGTATCTTGTTTTAGGCTACAAAACCAAAAAGTATTTTTCAGTTGTCTCCTTTGCAGCAAAGAAAGAAATTGGAAAATAAATCCTTAATCGGTGAGCTTTGCAACAGCTTCAAGATGCTTCACAGTACTGAAAATAAGAAAATTTCTCTATTTTCCTTTTTAAATTTTTTAGGAAATTGTCCTTATTTTTAGGATTTTCTTTCTTTCTTTTTTTTTTAATTAAAAGACAGTATCAGATGTCCTAAAAGATTTTCAGGTTCTTTTGTGTGCAAAGCTCATGCTTTCTAATTGACTAGCCAAGAACTTTATTAATTTGGCTCATAAAAAAAATGCTTGGCGTGATACTTGTTAGATACGCTACCTAGGTAAGATTATTTTTAAAGCACTGACTGATCTCATGTTATATGACAATTCTAGGACATTTATTTAGAAAAGAAAATTCAAATGCAGTTGCATGATCTGGATCCAATAAGGAATGCAGGAGTTTATTTATTTTATGCCCTATTTTCTTTTATCTTTGTAAATACAAAATCCTGGTACAGAAACTGCCATACACCCTATTCCCCACTCTCCTATTTCAGTTTTCTTCAGCTCATCTGTCTATACCAGAGGTCCCCAATCTTTTGGGCACCAGGGACCGGTTCCATAGACAAAGATTTTTCCATGGGCCAGAGAGTGCGTGGTTTTGTGTGCCGCCTGCATCCCACGGATGGGGCTTTGCTTGTTTGTGCGGACCGGTTGCTGGCATGTTGCGGCCTGGTACTGATCCACGGACCGGACGTTGGGGACCCCTGGTCTATACCATCTGAATAGAAGGAAATGAACAGTCAGGCAAGAGCTGAAATAAAGTTGTACTAGCTGCCTTGCATTAAGAATGCTTTATAATTATTCTTCCTTGTGTTGAATTAATGTTTTGGTCCATCTAGTTTAATATTTTCTTTACTGAAAGTAGCGAAAACATCCATGATCTCAACTAATAATCTTTCCTTAGAATTCTTATAATGGGAGTGCCATGAATCTTCATTATTTTGTATTTATCAGTGGGATCTACTGTACATGCATTAATTTAGTACTACCAGAGAAAACAGTGCTTAAGTACGGTAGATTATATAATTGGATCAGAATGTCTGTGTGCAGCACACATGCTCATGCATGCATTTAATCAGTATCCACGTCCTGCCTTTTTACATATATTCTGGAGACTAGCTGGTCACAATTCCACAAATATTTTATTCTGCATTAGTGTTTGAATAACTGGCCTTTAAATTTTACTTTAAAACATAATATTGTTAGCTGCAGACAATTGCTATAGTGATAGGACTCAGAATAATTTAAAATGATTCTGCTTAGAGCTACATATTAATAAATCTGTACTTAACAACACACTTGAAAATTTATGTGGACAGATTAATAGGATTAAATGTTTTCAAACTATTAACTACTACTTTATCTCACAGGAATATTTTCTAGTCCTCCATCATAAAGTTATTTGCTCTATTCTCCTTGTAGAATGATATGATTATATTTCACAGTTTGACATACTGTGCCATATTTGACCTAAGTTTAGATATATAAATCTACATTTTCATATCCTCGTTTGACTCTGCAATTTATAAAATAGCTTTGGAGAAGTCAAAGTTTAACTGAATTTATTTCTGCGATTAAGAATCATTTTTAAATACGGTATCTTTGTGTTCTGTGTATCATTAAATAGTTACACAATTAACTGGATCTAAATGGATGATTAGCCTTGACATCAGTAACTTACGGCTTTATCACCTTTAGAGTAGAGTGCTATGATATGCATTTTTTTTAATGAAACTTTTTGAACACTACTTGGAAACTGCTATGGTTGTAAAGTGCATCATCTTGCATACTGGACAGTAAAAGCTTGTACAACACACACATAATATCTGTACAGTATTATGGATCCATATTGGCTGCTGATAGGTTCCTGGCTATAATTCAAATCACTACTTTGGAAGAGTTTTATTGTTGTGTTTTATAATTGTATTACAATGTTATTTTATATTTTGTAGTTTTATCTATTATAAAGTAAAACAGGACTATACTTGTTTACCATAGCATACAAGTATAATAAATAACCAGCACTGCAGTGAATTAAGAAATAGGGTATACCATGAATTATTTCAATGAATCAAGCTATAGAGTGACATTGTAACAGATCATAGACATTTTAGAAAATATTAAGTGTCTTCATTAAATAATGTAAACAATTCAATATTAAGTACTGCTTTTTTGTACCTTCATTTTATTGGATCTAACAGGGTATGATACAATCCAGAGGAAGCAGTTGTCGCCTTTATCCCTGAGATCTCCAGAACTGCCCATTTCTGCTGCTTCATATTCAGAGCACAGGACAATTGTGCCTAAAAACCAATTGCTTCTTAATGGAACTGGCCAGAGTAGCTTTTTAGAAATGTATGAATCTGCAGACGAAAACTGTTCGTGGAATAATGTCACAATAGCAGACTTGTATCCAGGAATGGTAAAAAATCTTAGCAGACTGTTCGGTAAAGTATCTCAAAAATCTTTTTCCAATTCATTAACAGAGCGATACAAATACGGATATTGTCGTTCTAAAAAAGCAAAATTTAATACCAACACAGAGAAAACAAGAAAGTTCAGAGTACTAAATCTGACACCTGGCTTCATTATTGAAAAACATGAAAACAAGAAATTATCTAAAGGAAGTAATGGCGACAGAAGTCCTTTTTACAATTCAAAGCGTCAGATACAATGCTCAGAAAAAAGTATTTACAGAATTGAATCTGCTGTATCTCAGAACTCAGATAGAAGGATAATAGACTGTTCTGGTATTGCAGAAGATTATTCATACAGTGAAAGAACTGGAAAACGTGTTACAGAGGAAACTTTTTTCCCTAGAACTCTTTGTGCAGATAAAACATTTTTGGTCAATAATACAACTTGTTTCCCTTTATCTTCAAACGATGTAAAAAAGAATCGAAGTTTTGAAGATTTTTCCCATACATTTTGCACTGTAGATTTAGACACAACATTTAATCCAAAAACAGGAAGAGAAACTGGCGAACTGAGTACTATGGCATTCAAAACTACTTCAAGTTTAAGTTTGTCCTTGAATGGCAAAACAAACTCCATTTTAAAAGGAAGCAAGTCTCCAGTGAAAACCTGTAATGGACTAAAAAATCATGAAATTAAAACTTTCACTGCCAGTGTTTCACTACCACGAAGTCATTCTTTTTCATCGTTTCATGTTAACCGAAGTCCCATTTATAAAAAGAAATATGAAGATGCATTTGAAAAATTATATAAGGAATTGTGTTCTCCAAAGTCACAGAAACCATTTAAGTGTTCAAATATATACGTGAGCCCTAGAAACTCTGCAGACGTACATTTTTCGGGTTTAGATAAGCTGTCCTCAAATTTCCCTAAAAAAGCAAACAATACGATTGAAGATCTGTACCAGAAATTATGTTCCGAAGGTTTCCCCAAAATTCCAACATTTCTAAGAGCAGCAAATTTAAAAAAATACGAAGGAGTGCAGATATCTGAAACTGTAAATGCCCTTGTTAATTCTCCAATAAGAACTCTGCCTGCTGTTGCCAGAATTAAAAGAGCGGCACATTTTTGTAATGAAGATTCTCAGTATTCGCCTTTAAAAAGGTTAAAAAATAAATGTAGTAATTCTTACAGAATACAGAATCTACAGAATCAGAAATTTCCTTGCTGGAAAACCATTAGAAATGACGCAACGTTCACATTGCATTCACCTGTTAAAAACAGTTTGGCATCAAATACGGTAAGTGAAATATAATCTTCTATAACGCCTTCAAACCTAAACATTGTTTTAAAGTACCAAACCCTTTAAAAGTGTTTTATTTATAGGCAACATTTCTAAAATACATGAACTTACTTACAGAACAAAATCCTATATGTACCTAGGTATAAACTTCATTGAATTTAGCACAACTATTTTTAACTAATCTCTTTTTTTTTTCAGTATAAAATTTTTATTGTTTTCCAAAAAAGAAAAAAACATCACAAGTATTACACAATATTATAATATATCCCACCCCCCCGGACTTCCCAAACCAAATCCCAGGCTAATATTAAACTAAGTCTTACTGGATGTTATGGCACTATGTAGTTCTCCTTATCTCTGTTCTTTTCTAATGTGTGAATTAGATTATGGAAGAATATTAATATTTGGATGCTAGAATTTTTTTTCTTTTAAACCTTTGTATCCAAGCAACAGATTTAACATGTACGGCAGATGAAGGATAGTGTTTGATCCAAATCGTCTGCAAAAAATAGCTTGATACTTAGAAACTATAAAATAATGCAGAATGGAAAAAAATGTGGTAGAAGCTTATTGCTAAATTACATTTTCTTCTGGGACATCAGCAATCCAGGTTGATGTAAATTAAAATTTTTAAACTTTTTAATTTTCAGAATTACGGAGGTTCTGTTTCTCCAGGCCATGGCTTTTTGGCCACTTCAATTGCTGATATGGAAGGTTGGTTTAAAAGATTTAAGTGAAAACTATATAGCAGTGTATTGTTCTTTGATCAGGCTAGGCCAGGGGTGTCAAACTGCCAGCCTGTGGGCTGGTTTCATCATTGCCTATCCCATTGCCTGCAATGCAAAAAGAGTCACGATGCATCGTGACATGTCATGTGACGTGGCAAGTTTGACACCTGTGAGTTAGGCAATTAATTGTTTATCCCAAGAAACATTCAAATGTCAATATTAGATCAACTGTAGATTTTTAATCCTTTATGCTCTATAAAAAACAGTATAAGCAACAAACAATAAATAGGGCCAGCAGATGCTGTCAGAATAGCACACATTCATAATTGGGGGGGGGTTAATGACATCCCAACATTGTTTCTTGTTCTGTCTGAACTTATTTCCCAATATTCCTAATTCTTAATATATCTAATTGGGAATATTTTTTCATAATATTAGATCATTGGGTTGAAGTTTCTGAGTCTATTTTTAAACTTCTTTGTGTGTCCACTGATTGACAAATCCATCTGCATTTGCTTTTGTTTTTCCTACTTTCAGTGATGTGAATATTAATGTATGAAATTTTTGACTTTTGAATTATCATATAGAGAAGGGTGTCAGAAGGTAAATGCAACAATATGTGTATTACATACTGAATTTGGATGATTTGTTTATGAATAGAACTAATTTTACTATTTTTCCCATTTCTGAACTGCACATTTGAAGTTAGTTTAACTTGGTTTATAAGAAATTTACAATAAGATTAATCATTATTCAACCTGCTAAAGAGACAGTATTTATACTTTTCATATCTTTGTCTTCGCTTTTTTTCTTTTTGAAATAATTTGTAACCAAAATATTTAAACAGACACTTTTTAATCCATATCTAATTTGTTCAAAGAGTCTGGGATTTCAGATATGAATGAAAATATTCCCAGGTGTTTGCGGGGTCGTGAGTTTTCAAGAAGGTCACAGAATGTTATACCAAAGTAAGCAATATTTTAATTTCTTTCCAGTATTCCATTTATTTATCTATCAAATGTATATTGCTGTCCATCCCACCTAAAGTGATAGCAATTCCTTTCTTATATTTCTTTGTGAATGGATAAAAAGGAGGAGACAAAATGTTCAGGTATCCCTATTAGCTACAATTAAGGCAAGATCACTAACCTTTCTATTGTCATAAATCATATCTAAAAAAATTTGGTCCAGGGAATCAACGACCCTTGTGAGCAGGAGAGATACCCATATCAAATTGGTAGATCAGAGTGTATTCCTTGTTTTTAAACTATGAAGAGTTTACTGTACAATTGCATTATAGTTTTGAATCTACCTCACAACATTGGAAAATGTGAGGTAGAGTGGTTATAAGGGGTCCCAAAACTCCCAAAGGAGTTGCATGTGGCTTTGATGCTAAAAGTTGCTCATGGGTAATCTAAGGCATGTTTTGTAGGATTATAAAACAGTTTCTTGCATGAGGACATACAATATAACAAAAGAAGATCATTGGTGTCCTCTTCTACAGTACATTCCTTCCTACTCTAATGGCAGGCAGTTCAGGGAAGAGGAGAATTATCATGAATGATCACAGATAAATAAAAATAAGGTCCAGTCAAAGCAACATTATTTATCTCTGTGTGTTCCTCTACGTCACTGAATTTATTTATTCACTGCACTGAGATGATTAATTATTCCTTTATCAATATGCTGAGATGATTAGTATTGCTATATTGCTTATGGAAAAATGATAAATTATGGGCATACCATAGTGAGAAGAGAAACAGGCATTAATAGTCAGGGATTATCCACTACTAGAGTTGGACATTAATTTCTTTTAGTACTCAAAAATAAAGGAAAGAGACTATATTTGAGCTTACTGTGAAACAGTCATTTCTTGTGTAAAATAATAGAAATTATCTGAAACAATTTGTTTTCCCAAATGGTCAATACATTTTCCCAGTTATAGTTTTCATCCCAATTGATTGACATTCATTCAGAAGAGGTTAGGCAAGAGTTTTTCCCAGTTTATACAAAATGGAATCTTTTGCAGGTAACGATATGCTTTGTTATGGAGCTGTGCTCTCCCCCAGTATATTTTCAGTGGTGGGGAAAACAAGATATGCATGGGAAAAGGCTAATACAGGGACTTATTTAACTTTAGTCCAAATAAACTAATTCATAAAAAAGAAAAGAAAACAATGTTATGTTATCTTGGATTGAATTAGTTAGACCAGGTAACAGCAAGTGGACTTGTCTAAAGATAATCAACATCAATTATATTAAGTTAATGTTCTGTTCAGTCAAATGTCCAGGGTTGTTGTTACTTTTTTTTAAAAAAAAATAATACCCTGCATATGTTGATGTACAAAACTTTTCATAACATATTTTTTTAATATTCACAATAGTGTAAACACTTTCATATGAAAATTTTTAACTAAGAGTGATGGATACTAGCAGATATCATACGTTCTGCTGTTAGTGTTAAGAGCTCATATTGGTTGATCATTACATTTCACTAACAGAAATCAATGAGTTTCTTGTATATCATGCATTGTTGATATTACAAGTGACAGTTGCTAAAAACAAAGATTATTTTGCTATGTTGTATGCTAAGATACATTCTGGAGTTAAAATTATTATCTTCTGAAATACAGCATCAAGATCAGTGGCATGATATTATGCTTTGATGGGCGTTATGATACTTCTTATGTTAATGTCAGTGTATGAATTTCTTTGAAATGCATCGGAGAATCATTAGTTTATTGTTTATGTATGGATGTAAGGAAGTGGGGGGAGGGTTTCAGTTAAAAGTCAATATAACTGTGCTGCTTTTTTCTTGGTATTTGTATCAGTTTGATCAAGTTTTGTTTCTTTGCTAGAGTTTCCAGAAAGCTAAGCTATAATGATGGGAGAATCAGAAGCAGAGAATTCATACAGAAGGATTATGAGGAAACATTTCTGGAAAGATTTGGAGAGGAAAATGATATTTTTTAACAAAATATATCTTAATCCCAGTAATTTCTAAACAGAACACAAATTAAGTGGAATATTCCTGAATTAAGGTAGTAAAATATTTTCACCAGTTCTTTAAAATTCTTTAACTCATCAGCTTTAGCACAGGGCAATAGACCTAAAAGACTGCAGTGAAAATAGAGAAATAACAACTACTAATATAGTTCAGCATCCATCTCTATCCAATTATTCTCTGTCATTTGAAAGTTATGGAGATAATGGAAACTGTTTCTAAAATTCAACAGTTCAGTTAATTGTTTTTTTCCTTCTTGGTGATTTATTCAGCTTAAGTGACTATAAGAAACATCTTTTGTGGTACTTAATTTGTTTAATCTGCACCTCTAGAAAAAGGTTATTGGAAGTTGGGGTATAATCAAGATTTAAATGTGTTTTTATATAGTGCTTTTAACTTACTATTCAATAAGCTCATGCTTTAGGAAAAATCTTTATTTCATTAATAAAGAGTAAATATGAAAATATCATTTTTTGTATTTTTATTTTATTTTAAATGTACCTAATATTTGATTTATATCTTTGTCTAATAAACATTTTAATATGTTTGTATTTTGACTGAGTTTGTTATACGTTTGCTTCTGGAAGTGTTAATTTCACCTAGGATAAGTCTTTCCTTATTTTTATTTGCTTATCAATTTTCTAGGCTTCCCAAAACTAAGTATGGAAGGTTTGATTTATAGAAAAAACTATAAATTAAAAATAAAATACAATAGATACTGTTATTTGGGGGTAACAGCAACTAAACTGTTCCACACTGTTGGGTGTTCTCAGTTAACAAAGGCTCAATTCTATAAGGCTGTCTTGTGAAGGAAAGTCATTTCAATCTTATTTTTTTGCTTTTTGAGAAAAAGTGGGAGAGGAAACGAAGGAACCTGTGTTGGAGAGGGGACTAGTAGCACACAGTGATGAGGCACTTGGTTCTTAAGTAGTCAAAGAGCATACTTTCAATTCATGTTCACCAATCCTTCAGGATTCTTTCTGTCACCTGTAGTATTCACTGTTTGTGAGACTGGAGTTCGTTCTCCAAGCTTGTGGATTGGTTTCTGAACATTTTGTTACCAGGCTAAGTAATATCTTCAGCGGAATTTAGGGAATGTCAGTGTTGGTGTTCTGCTATTGTAATACTACTGTAATATAACTTTCCTGTTGGTTCTATATTCAGCAATCAAAAATGATAGTTAAGCTTACTGAACTATATAACTATGAAAGTTAACTGAAGTAACTTTCTAGTCATAAGAAATTGCCTTATTGTTCCATCCTATTTAGGACCAGAAGAGGATTAAGAGGGAAATCCAGGAGTCCATGGGTTTAAATATGTTACTTTGCTAAATTATATCACTTATGTTTATTTATGTATTATGTACTATATGAATAAATAATTTGATTTCTGTTCAAAATGAATTTATTTATTGGCTTCCTAGACCACCTAACTCCAAAAAGGCTGAACAGTTTACATAATTTTAAATAATACATAATTTAAAAGGGAGCAAGGTCACCAAAGCAATACCACATAAATAACACCCAAAATCAACAGTGTTTGCCAGGGCCTCCAAACACATCTCAATCCCAGTATGAAGAGATTTCTGTAGCATTTAAAGGATGGGAAGCATGCATCTTGAGGAAATTGCTTTTCTAAAGTACAGAGACCATGCTTCCTCTATCCTGCAAATTATAACATTTAATGAAAGATCCTTGGACCATGCCAACTGCCCAATCATACCACATAGGCAGAAATAGTTGAAGAATTCAGAATAAAACTGCTGGCTCACAATTTTATGACATAATCAAGCTCAGGTTATTCTCAACTTCTTAGATAAACATGGTTGGCAGCATATATTTTTCTAGATGATCTTGCATATGCACATTAGCATTTGTGTAATTCTAAGAATTAGGCATAAGTTAAAATATATGAAATAATTATTAGAGGAAGCATATAATACATATTTTGGAACTAATTGTTTACTTTCATGTCAAATTAGATGAAATGTCATTTAAATATTTACTTCCTGGAACTATACCAACTATATCAATTTTTTCTTGAATCTGTTCACTAGGAACAAAATGCCACTGTTACTTAGTAATCAAAAAAGGTATAAGACAGATTTAAAGATCATCAACTGATTTCAAGACAATAAAATGCTTAATTCAAACTTCATTGCTATATTATGAGATTTCCAATGCATTCAGGTAGTTTTTATTACAAGACAATGTTTTGGACTGAATTGAACAGGTATATCTGGGGAGTAATTAGGAGTATCACTTCTTATAGAATACACTATAAAACTGGTGTAAAAGTCAATAACAGTTACTTAAATACAATGAAAAATGTCAAATTCTTCCTTGGAGATTTATTTTTATACCTCATTTACTACTTTTTTTACAGACCATTTAATTCAGATGCTCAAGACATTACATTCTCATTGAGTAATTGGGATTGACTCTAGCAGTTCTTAACTAGCAGGAAACTAAATACATGCCGACATTACATTTGCTAGCTGTACAACTGTTAATTAGATGAATCAAAGCTGATACATTATTCCCTAATTAACCTTAAATATTTCCTGATGTTATTACATGTGCAGTATGGCAAGTTATAATTATACTGAGTAGAGCTGAATGAATAAGTTTTTCTCAGGAAGTTAGCAAAATTTTTGTTAGTGGTTCTAATCTTCTAATGGACTATAACTGCTTTACAGCAAAGATTGTAATTTGGCTCCTACTCATATATGAACCAGGTGGAGGGTATTGAACCAGTTCCCCACTGGCATGCTAAAGGGCCAAGCAAGTTTCTCCACTGCTCAGACAACTTCTTCCATGATCCAGACTACTCTAAGCACCATGTCAAATGGTGGGCAAAATTTAATTAAAAGTCTCAGAAAGTTATATAAATTGTTCCTCTACAGAACTCAATGGCACAAATTATTTTGTTCAAGCAATCACTTATCTAACTTGGCAATTGACTGTCTTAGTGAATGTTTACCTTGAGAAAATTATTTGTTTACTAAAACATGACATCGTTTGCCTTGTGTTTTAAACCAAACTCTCTGAACGAATCAACGTGAGGAGTGTTTTCAGTCAACTTATTTTCAGCACTGAGTTGTTCACTGTTGAGATAAATGCAAGACAGCGTGGTGGTGTTTCTGGTAAGTTGATTTTCACCCATTTCTAATGTAGGATATTTCTTTTTGGGCAGAATTTTTTGCTTTCTTCTGACACTATGATCAAGGGAAGCATAGCACATTTGGCGTTCAGCTATCTGCTACAAAAAAAGGAATTCATATTGATCATGTTATTTCATTTACTATTATGGCAAACAGCTAACAGTAAAAGTAACAAGTCAGTTGTATGATACACCCAAATGAAATGATATAAATTTGCAATTATGTGTTTGGTAACTGCTTGGAAACAGGACTTTTTCCTTAGCCAGTTTCCTACCTTATTATCAATTCATCATTTTTACCTTGGAATATTGTCTTTTCTGTCTCCACTGATCTGTTCTTGAATCCATTGGAATAGGATCATAAAATGTAAGGTAATATTGGTTTCTCTTTCTCAATTTGAATTGCTTATCTAAATACTTCTTGCTGATACATTTTTATTGCAATCTTTGGAATTTTAGTGAATTTCATTAAAACTGATATGCTTTTAGGAGTAACACTGAGCTTCCTGCAAATCAAGAACTCCACTATAGGACTCTTGATTTCCTGTTAAACCCAAAAGATTAAGATTTGTCATTATCCACAGTCATCTTTCAATAAGACTGTTTCCTTAGGTTTACATTCATTGATTAAGATGATTATGGGCAGCTTAATATAAGCAATGCTGTCACTGCAATACTTGATTCTGATATGATCCACTTGAACTAATAGTTCCTTGCTAGTTCCATAAGCATTTGAAGAAGATTATATTTTTACTGATATTGCATTGGCATACTATATCGGAAAAGTCTATTCATTACTAGGTCATTTCCCCTATTTTACTCTCTATTTGGATGAACTGGTTCAGTATCTTGATTTCACAATTCTACTTCACTTGGTGGTGTCCTACTTTATCCCCACCCACACACACCATTGGAGGGCTCTTATATGGGTTAATAAACTGCCTTTGTGCCATCTTTGTAAATGGGTTATTGCAACAGTGTTGCTGTGTTATGAGATAGCCAGATAAGTCTCAGATATTATTCCATTAAGGTTCTGGCAATGTCAGTAATTTCTCAGCACAATTATCATTAACCAAATTTGCAAGGCAACCACATAGTTGCACACTTAACTTTTATTAGGTTAGATTTATGGCAGAATATGAAGCAGAATTTGGCAGATTCTCCAATATCCTGAAAACGAACCCCTGCCTAGTAGACAGCTACTCATTTGTGTGAAATCACAGATTCTACCAGTATCTGTAACAGATAACATTTGAATGCTTATCTATGATTCACACAACCCATCTTATATTTTCTAACTTGGAGATTAATGTGTTGATCTTAAGAATTGAACAGCAAATAGGAGCCATGTTCAAGCATATTTAAGCATATCTCCTATCAAATTCAGGAGGGTTCCAAATGAATCTTGTTAATGCACAATCCAATTCACAGACCCTTTGTTAATCGTAATTAACTAGGTTATCTTACACCAAATTGTTGTATTATTATGTGGAATGTGTACCTGCAGCAGCACAGTGGGATAATTTTGTCAACTTAGACCTTTCTTAGAAAGAGATCTGGATCAAGAGACAGCAGTCCTGAACTGGATGAGGGAGGGAGAAGAGGCTAACTGTAATTTTGAATCTCTTGGGTATGCCTAGTAACCTAGAACTTGGGTCCCCAATCCCTGCCCCCAGTCCATTATTGGGCTGCAGCTTCTTCAGAACTGGACCACACAAATGGGAGTGTATGTGCACACTCAAAGCTTCTCTTGCACAAGTGGTGGCCCACCTGCCACTTGCAAGAAACTATCCCCTCCCCCCCCCGCCAAGCCAGAAAGGTTGGGGACCACTGGCCTAGAAAGTTATAGATTTTGTTTGGCAAGATTCTATGTATTAGGTATAAGCAAATAAAGGATTGGACTCAATGAGATTTCACTGTCTCATCTCTGACCACTGTATCTACATGTTAGTTTACCTGCAATATCTTGGAACTCTTGACTCCATAATTTTATTATGGAGTAATAAGTCAAGTTAAAATAATAAATGTGACATATCTGATAAAGAAGATTTATATATATTCCAGGGCTGAAATTAAACATTAAATTGGCCAAGATTTTACAAGGGGAATCCTGTATTTTAGGGCAGCTAAGATCTAGATAGATCATTCAGCACCATAAACGGTCCTGGAAAAAAACCTGTTAGAAATTAAAGAACATTTACATAAACAACCATGTACAAACCTGTACATCAGTGGTGGATCTGGGAGAATGGACATTCATTTTCTCATAGCAACTTTCATCTGAAAATAATTTTTGATGTAGAATGTTTTAAAATAGTTACTCTATATTATTATCAATCATAAAGTTCTGCACTAACCTGTTATTTTTCAATACCATGCAGCGTAGCAGCTATAACTATACTGTGCTGGTAACTACCTGACATATTTCACTTCCTCTAAATTAAGGAAGGGCTTTTGGAGGGCTCAGTATAGTACTTTGCATCCACTTTCTTGCTGGGCAGATATTTAAACTTAACTGAAGAAGCTTCTTGGATGAGAAGCAAAATGTTTTCAAGGAAAAAACAAAGGAAGTCCAGTTGCCTTTTGGAAAAGCACCTTTGTGATAGCCATGACCTGAATGACTGAGAATCTCCATAGACGTGGAAATTTTAAAAAGTTATTTGAATGGAGTTGTCCACAGAGTTCAAGAGAAATCAAAACCATAACTCAAGCATGATTATATGGTAATTAGAAGAATTTACTTATTCTAGTTCCTTGCAACAATATTCCAGATAAGCAAATCTTTAGTATACAAAAGTTTTTATCTTCTGATTGTCATAACAACATCACTAATATTGTGGCCAAATTTTCAATGGCAACAGTTAACACAAATAATTCAAATAATCTGCAATGATTGCCATGTATTTAATTGTTTTTATATTCATTTATATGGACTATTTATCACAATAAAAGCAAATATAAAAAGTCTATACATTCCTATTAAAATGCCAGATATTTGAGATGTAAAAATATCAGACCAAAATAAATCACTTGGGAATTTTTTGCACCTTTAATATAACGTATAAGCAGTATAATTCAATTAAAAACAAACTGAAATATTTCTTTGGGGCGGGATAACAATAAAAAACTTACAATAATGTGGTTACATAAATGTACCCACCCTCTTATAAATAGTGATGTGGCTGTGTTCAGAATTAACTAATCACATTCAAACTGATATTATACAAGTCGGTACACACTTGCCATTAATTAAAGTGACTCTCATCAAGCCCATATAAAGTTCAGCTATTCTAGTAGGCTTTTTCTGACATTTACTAGTTACTTCTTTCAGCAAAAACCATGGTCTGCAAAGAACTTAAAAAGCATCAAAGGGATCTCATTGTTGGAAATTATAAGTTAAGAGAAATGTGCAATACCATTTCCAAGGCATTGTTATATCATGGAACACAATGAGGACAGTCATCAACAAGTGGAAAAATATGGCACAACAGTTATATTATCAAAACAAATTCATCAAAATTGATATTTAAAAAAAGAAAACTCATTCAAGAGGCTACCAAGCAGAATTTCTGGCAACTACTGGTTGTGTACTACAGGGCTTTTCAACCTTTTCACCCATTGTACCACTTTTAGGATATAGCAATATCCGAGTACCACCAGTCGCCTAGCAAGGTGTCAAAAACTTGATGACCAAAAAAAAAAAAAGGAAAAAAGTGATAAAGTACAGGTAGTCCTCGACTTACAACAGTTCGCTTAGGGACTGTTCGAAGTTACAATGGCACTGAAAAAAGCGCCCCCCAAGCCACAGCCGAGCAAGACACCTGCCTGCCCACTCCTGTCTGAGGTTTTCATTGTTGTGAGCATTTCTGTTGAGGATTGGCAGCAGGGGTGGGGTGGGGGTATTTGGTTTTTATTCCCCCCATTTGCTGGGTGGTTGCAGCAGGTTTTGGTCACTTCACATGAGCCTGGGACACTGTGACCGTCATAAATATAAATCCGTTGCCAAACATCTGAATGTAAATCACAAGATCCTGGAGATGCTGCAACATTCCAGCTGATCGGCGCTTCTTCTGGGCTCAGCAGAAGTGCCAGGATCAGTGCTGCTTTCCAGCTGGAGCCTCGCACTGATCCTAGTGCTTCCACTGAGCCCTGACAGTCCCGAAGAAATGCTGATCCTGGCGCTTCCGCTGAGCCCTGACAGCCCTGCAGCTCCAGTCATCTCTCGCTCAGGCTTGTGCGGTGCTGCCACCGGTTCAGCTCATTCCCCTCCCCCACTACCACTTTTCTAGGATGGTCGTGTACCACCTGCCAGGTGTCAATGTACCACAGGTGGTACCTGTACCACTGGTTGAAAAGCCCTGGTGTACTACATATGACAACAATCCCCCCTGTTCTTCATATGTGCGGTCGGATGGCAAGATAGCAGCTTTTTCTTATAAAGAAAAGCATCCAAGTCCAGCTACATTTTGCAAAAAAACTATATCAAGTCTGACAAAAGCATGGGGAAAATATGTTATGGTCTGATGAGACCAAGGTTGACCTTTTTGGCCATAATTCCAATAAGTATGTTTAGCAGGGGTGTGCACTTTTTTATAGCCACTGTATGTATATATATAGATATTAAAAATATTAAAACATTTTAAAAAGATATAAACATTTGTTACCAACTTTTTTGTTGTACTAAGGATGGGTAATTTCCAAATATCCTCCAAACCTTAGTATATTTTATCTATTATATTAATGTAATGTAATGTAATGTAATATATACTCATATATAAATATTAGACACAAATATAAAATATAAAAGCATGTAAACTATATGATAGATAGATAGATAGATAGATAGATAGAGAAAGAAAAAGAAAGAAAGAAAGAAAGAAAGAAAGATAGATAGATAGATAGATAGATAGATAGATAGATAGATAGATAGATAGATAGATAGATAGATAGATAGATAGATAGATAGATTAGATAGATAGATAGATACAGACTACAGACTACAGACTATAGATAGTCTTCCAGAAGGGAAGGGAAGAAAAAAGGAAAAAGCCTACAAGGATTAGTTCAAGTTAGCCATATGAACCTATATGCAATAAATGGATAACTTTATCTATAGCTTACTTAGCATCTCCTGATGGTAGGGATTAAGGTTGTCATAAACTGGATAAGCTTCTGCATGAAATTCCTCATTGCTGTAAAAGAGTACAAGAGAGTTTTAAAACAAACTTAATGTGGACACATTGTATTAAATTGTATTGCATAATTTGTTTAGAAAATATGATTTATATGACTAGATGATTTATTTGAGTTTAGCTAACAAAGAAACATAATAAATATCCAGATTTCCATTTATAGAAACAGATTTCTGATGTTCACCATAGAAGACGCTAACATGGTTTCTTCTGATTTCTTCTCTTCTATTTCTAGCAGTCCCCTGAAAATATAAGCAGTGTGTTTGTGGAAATCCACTGATGCAACTTGGAAGATATTATGGGGACTATAGGAATCATGGAGTATGAAACAGCCATGAAAATTGTTTCTTTCCACTTATCAATAATTGACTACAAGGACATTTACAGCAGACAATCACAGCCTTTTTGGCCCATTCAGAATAATTGAATTTTTCAGACTGTGTTATGGACATGATCACAAATGGCTGCCATAATAAAAGTACCCATAGAAAAACCTTTGCCAATGGCTGCTACCATTTTTTTTATTTTATTTTCAGAAAATTTCTAGGGTATACACAGTTTGCAATATATTCTTGGAAGTAACAAGCTGCATGAATCTGATACTTTATTTCCAGAATACTGAATATTATTATCGATTCTAGAAAATTAAGCTCCCATTTTAAACAATGTAAAAATAATTTGGAGCCTGAAGTGTTCCCAAAATGTATCAATTGGAAGCCACATATATTACATTGGGATCTAGAATACACTGGATAAAGGTCTTTCCATGTAAGCACACCACCTCAAAAAAGGAAGACTTTTGCCATACCTTGGATTATATTCATTATAATCTTCACACATTTCCTCTGGAAAACATTTTGAAGAAATCAGCAAAATTTAAAAAACAGGTGTGTTTGACATTTCAATATAACATATTTTTGAAGATGTGATATTTCTTTATAAAGATATTCCAAAGATAAGATGGAATGCTCTCTGCATTTTTTTTCCTACCATAGAATTCTAACTGCTATGTTTCCTTGGTTTTGCTACCTCCCTGGTACAACTTAGTGCTATCTTGGCCTCTAATGCCAATTTCTTTCTGGTCTTCCTTCTGCCAGAACTGCCCCGTGCCCTTTGTTCCCATCTTCACTTTTCTTCCTCTTTCTACTTTGATAAACCTACAAAGCAGTCTACATGCAATAAATAGCAAAGACCCTGTTATAGCCAGTATTTACACTGCATGTAATGTTTATTCTATACAGCATATAGACTGCTTTATAAGTTTGGATAGAGCAATGTTCCAGGTCTAAAATGTTTCTATATACTCATGTAGCCTAGAGTGCTTTTCAATAAATAAAGATACCAGCAATATTGTACTATATGCAGATTGTATATTTTTTCCCTTTTCAACAGTCTTGGAGAAATGTACTAGTGTGGCAAGAATGCTGATTACATACAGTATACCGTATGTCGATTTAGGACATAGAAATAAAAAGAATAGGCTTGAATCAGGCAACCTTCACTGCAGATATGGAGTTGAAGGTTAGTTGCTAATGTTGGTAAGAGTATGCATGTGTGAGAATAAATGGAATGCTACTGAGCAAAAAGGAAGACTGGATAAGTAATATCTCCTTTAGTATTTAATGCACCTATAGAAAAATATACAAGACTGCTTGCAGAAATGTATTGCTGAGAATGGGAATATAAGTGACATTCTGATGCAAAAGAATATGTGTTTGCTGAGAATCTAGACTATCTACAACAAAGGTTAGATGGTTTGATGCAACAAATAGTATGAAATCTGGACATTTATATACCAAAGACTAAGGTAATTACATTTTATAGGGAAATTGGAATAAATGATTAAAAGTGAATAGCAAAAACTAAAAGTAAATAGTTTGATAGGAGTCAGACAGACTGACAGAGACAGACAGAGACACAGAAATATATGAAAAAGCAAAATGCCAATGAATGACACATTATATACCAAGCAGGATGTAAAAATGGTGAGCAAAGATAGAAATGCATGGGAAAAGGTATTGAATGGTACTGAGTTAGAATTCATTGACCCTTTTTCTTATCTCCTGCTTTTCATGTCTTTGCTTACGGTTTTGTTATTCCCATTCTGTGCTTTCTGTAACAGGCTGTAACAAAAGAATAGAATTAAATATATGTATGTGTGTCTGTAGTATTGCTTTGCGGTATTCCACAAATGTTCTGCACTTTTGCTGGGTCCTTTTTTAAAATAATAGCGCTAGGCTGGAGACATCAAAATCTGGGCTATTTGTGTTTTCTGGCTGAAAGTGGTGGTGGTGGTGGTGTTGGCAGTGACTATAAAAATGCATTTTTGGCTCATATGGTACCTGAAGGCATTTGCATTGAGTAATATGAATTCAGGAGCTTGTATAATAACTAGAAACAGCTCTAAAGAAGAAGCTTCAACAGCCATCATGCTATAATAGTCATTTACTAAGGGAAGATTAAACTTGACAAGTTTCTTCTTGTTAAACCACAACTTAAAGTATCTTATAAGTATAAATATATGAGATCTGAGATTATTTTTAATGTGGCCTTAGTAAAAATTAGAACTACCTTTACTGAGATCAGATAAATAATTACTCTTTTTATTCCATTGCAGATGAAAGTGAAACCTCACTTCCTGCTATTTCTGTAATTTGCAACTTACATTATTCTGCATCTTTTCCTTCAGCTTTCCTTACCTTTTTGTTTTTTGTTTTTCAAGAAGTATGACACGTTTTTTAGTAAAGAAATTATCATAATTACAGTTACAAAAGAAAGAGGTATCCAGCAAATGGTACACTGATTAGCTTCCATTCCTGTAATAAGAGAACAAATATAAACAAAAATAAGAATTTTGTTCATTTAAAGTTTTCAATTTGGGATACATTTGACATGCTGGAATTTATATCCATTTGTGAATTTCACAAACACAAACGTTACTTTTTACTTTGAAAGGATCTTTGGCTATGAGTATATATATATATGATATGAAATATATTCAATTTTGAATAACTAATTGTATCTGTATGTTCCCATTTGAAATGTATAATTTTATTTGCTCATATATTGAAAAATGGATATCCATTTTTCTAATATTGAGGCATAAAAAGTTAACAATAATTACAGAATTGTTAAAGAAAGCAGAACATTTAAATTCTACTTCAGAAATGTTTTTAAAAATGAGTACATAGGCACATAGGAAATTACAAATCTGTATTAAACTCGATTTTTGTGCTAATTCTGTAAGCTCTATGAAGAATGTGTCAGAAAAGTTGTACCGTAATTCTTTTTTTCCAGAAATTTTGAAACCATTGCATAAATGACAAAACATGTAAGATATTCTCCACACATTTTAAAGTCAGAAAAATGAAAAATAGTACACTATTTCCTTTATTTGCTGACAAATTTACATGTTTTAAAAACAGATCGTTTATGTACCGTATATCAGTGAAAACATCTTTAATGAAACTATCCCAAAGTGTCAAATAATAACTTTTGTGTTCTTCAAAAATCTGGTCAGAAATCAAACAGAACAGGTAACATTGACAAACATATGAGAAATTTAGGAAAATATAAAAGAATATTGAGCAAGTCAACATTCAAAACAAAACAGTAAGTTTAATGAAATGTATTCTGGGATTTGTACCTCCTGCCTGTGCTGCCACAGTGCTATAAATTCAATCTTCAACAGCTATGCTGATTAACTGAAAACACCACAAAGGCACGTTTGCAACATTTATTCTGAACTATGGGACAAACATTGTCCTACAGATAGGGATTTGTGCCTTGTCCTGCCTCCTCTTTCTCCTGAAGCCAAAGTGTATTAGTGACTTTCAGCCATCATCATTTGCCACACAGTTGTCAGCCTTTTTCCTTACTGCAAAAACAAATGCAATGAGGAAAGTACAAAGTGGTCAGGAGTATCTGTAATAATGGTCACTGGGTTTCAAAGTGGCAAGCATGGCAGAGAAATCAAAGCTCCTCCCCTTTTAATGTGCGGCACAGCATAGCACGCTTGCCAAAAGGAACAAACTTTCAATTAATCTGTTGTATTTGCCATTTTGCAGCCAGGGACTTCGCAGCAGCTATCCCTGACTGACTGGAGCATTTTTTTTTTCATTTCTCGCCTGGTTATCTTTACATTACCCCCTTCTCTGCTCTTCAGCAACTTTTGTATTCAATTTTATCCCATCACAAACCAATGTACTAAATGTACACTTTCTGACATTGCTATAACAGTTATGATAATAACGCAATGGAGGCCATGATTTTCCCAACTGCTAACAGTCACTTTTAACTGCTTTGGCTATGCCGTTACTCTGCAGTTGCTGCCAACTTTTCTCCAAAGCCACTTTAGCTGGGCAGCAGGAAAGGTCAAGAATTTGCCTGTGTTATGCCTGCCTCACATATTGCAAAGCACTGACCAGACATTCCAGGGACTGCTTATCTACACATGCGAAAAAGCAAAAAACTTTTGCCTTTGCTAACAGGGATATTGGCAGTGTTTCAAGCAAGAAGGGGCTCTGGGGTAGAGGCAGAGGCTGTCTACCAGATGTTTTAAAGGAAGGTGAGGCAGGTAAGCTAGAGAGGACAAGAAAAATGAGCAAATAAAACTCTTAAATAAGCAAAAAATAAGAAAGCAGAGCAAATAAGAGAGAGAAAGAGAGAGATGAGAGACCAATGAAGAGGCAAAGAGAACAAAGCAAACAGCAGAATGAGAAAGCTTATAAGAGAATGGCCTCCAAGAAGCAAGAAACACCAAATGAGAGAGTCAGCATGAAAAACAGACAAGCACAAGAGCATTGTAGCAAGAGGAGCTGAGATTAGCAGGTGTCTGATCCACAGAATGAGTGTGGGCTTCCAGCAAAGCAGGAAAACTGTAACCCCACAAACCAGGTTCTGACAGATAACCAAATCAATAGGTTGCTAAATATCAAAGCTCACTTCTTGTCCCAGCCCTATCCCATAGTATGGACAGTGAGAAGTAGATGTTTTTCCTATTTGCAGGAGATTCACCAATGGTTTTCTTATCCCAAACTAAAGCTGCCTTATCATCAAATCAGGTTAACACTTTGATGACAAGAGAAGGCAAACTAAACCAGCTTTTGAATTGCTATATTTCTCGGACTGGAAGAATGTTAAAGGCTGGTTTAGAATGCAGTACAAGGTGAGATATACCTATCCCAAAGGTGCTTTTTCAAGAGGCAACTGGACTTCCTTTGTTTTTCTTTGAAGATGTTTCGCTTCTCATCGAAGAAGCATCTTCAGGTCTGAAGAGGTTTCTTGAATGAGAAGCGAAACAATCTTCAAGGAAAAACAGAAAATCCAGTTGCTTCTTGAAAAAGCACCTTTGGGACAACCATGACCTGGATGACTCAGAATCTCCATACCTACTGTATGTTGCCTGATTCCCAGCTTGTTTCTGGACACAGTTGAAAAAATAGTTGTTGTTCTTTTGGCCCAGGATATCTTAGTCGTCATTATATCCAATAACAGAATGTTTGGGCCATAGATTCAATGGAAAGACAATTTCTAACTAAAGAGTTCCATTGCTATCCTCAGTTGTCAGACGATTTTCCAATGGTTGCACATAAACTCTGGATCCCTCAGCCTGAATAAACTAGGCTGAGACTCTATTAATAGGCTCATTTATCTTATTTTCTTAAAGAAATATATTTAAAGCTTCATTTAAGTTGTTGCAATCGCCTGATCTTGATTTAATTATTTGCTCACTTTGTTGTATTTCATTTATTACAAGTGCTCCTTTATTTGATGAATTTTAATTGTTTGAAAATTAACCTTAGTGGTACATGAGCACTAGATTGTAATATAAATAAGTTATTATATAAATAAAAATATGATAATCAGTGGCTTGGATCCACCTTGTCTTTGCCTATGCAAAAGACCCATATTTCAATGTTAAGATCTTATTATTCCCACAAACAATATTGCAGAATGAGTGCAAGAATTTGCAACAAGAAATATTGTTTTACCAGCATTATTCCATTGAAACTAATATACTGCAACATTTGCAGTTAGTCATGGGTGCACACCTTGTTCCAGGTAGAGGTATGGCTTTAGCTCTCAGATGATATGTCAGCAGCAGTAGATGTTAAAAAGTAGGAGGGCCATGATAAATAAATAAGATAGAGTTAAATTTGATTTATATAATTAAAATAAAGTTAATGCTATTTATATGATTATTTAATTATTCCCTTTCTATTGCACTGAAATCATGATTGAGAGGCAAACTTTTAGAAGGGTTCTGATATGTATATCTATGGTTTAGATACTATTTAGGTATCTCTGGCTGAAATCAATAGAATTGATCAAAATGAAATGTAATTCTCTTTTTAGAAAAAATACTAAAACAGAATCACTCTACGATAGCACTCATATCTATCATTTTGTTTCTATTTTGTAGCTATTCTATTTTTATAAAATATAGAATATATAATACTATCAAAATATTTGGTAACAACTATCTCATCATTCTCAAATTCTGCCCAGAATGTAATCATAACAACAATTAACACCAATTAGCAAATCTCCAAATACTTTGTTAAGACTACAGTATGAATATGCATGCATTCATCTTTCCCTTTATATCAACTCTAATGTAATCTAATCAGATTTCTCCAACTGTTGCTTTTTGGATGAGCTTGGGTTAATATGTCTTGTAAAATTGCTGAAATATTCTTCTTAATTACATATCTATAATTGTCTCTTTCTGCCATTGGAATGTGTAATCTTAGAGCATCTGAAAAAAAGAATATGCAAGAACAAAATCTTTATTTCCTATCAGTAATTGATTTTATTGCCTACTTCGTGCAGCAATGCTCCTAGCTTACAACCCTGTTTTTGCAATGCTATATGGACCTTTTTTAAAGCAACTACCTCAGTCAGACATAATCATACACTCAATTGTCATTATATGTGAAACCATCATTTTGTCAAAATATTAATCAAAAGTGTCCAGATTACAACATTCTATATTGGTATTCCACTGTATAGCTACTTTTGTAATGAGAAATTATAAAAAATGAAGTATTGGCTAAAGGGTTAAAATCTCTATATCATAAAAGAAGTAGCCATCACACTGAATTGAGCTTAACAGAAGGAAGTACTTCTTGGCATATTAAGAAAATACTGGATACATTTTTACTGCCTTTACTGTCTATACCATTTTACAAGCAAATCACAGTAGGGAAATCTCAAAGGAACTAAAATAATCACTGAAATTCAAATGAGCACCAGTACTAACTAAATGGAGTAAAAAATTCTGCATGCTTTAAGCAGTTGGCATATGAAAATGACTGGAATAATGATTGATGCCTTATATCCGCTTATCTGGGAATAAATTTAATTGAATTCATTAAGACTTGAGTCAATGTAGACATGCATGGGATTACATCTTAAGGTAAATATATTTATAAGAGGGATCATGTTGGGGATTCATATCTCCAGGAGTATCAGCTGTTTTAATTAAGGGATCACCTATGGTTTATTGTTTTCCCATTCCACACAATATCACTCAAAGGCAAGACAATTTATATTTCAGAATTGTAATTCTGCCTTTGTCTTGGAACAAACAAACATTCTTCTCTATATATTTGTGACATAAATAAAGTTCTGGAGCTCCCATCTCCCAGTAAAGGCAAATCCATTATATGATTGAACAACCCTGAACCAGCATAAACACAGATATGGCCTGCTAGAGTAAGTTTTAAAGGATTATCTAAAAGAGAATTAATCAAAACTTAGTTGGGTTTTTAGTTTTCAAAGTATATGTCTCCGAAGCAAACTCAAGTAAAAA